TCACTAACTCGTCCGCCCACCACTTTCTAAACTGCGACCCCAAGACTGCGTTTTCTACTAGCCACAATGAATGACACTCTAATATTACGTGTGTGACTGTGTGTGTGTGTACTGTAGCTCGTTTGAGCACAGAAACCAAAAGCTTATCGTTTACAACCATCTACTTCACCGTAACGTCCTCCTTCCTGCCTGCCCGCGCCTGCTAGTACGAGCCGTACGAGCAGTGAACGACTCACTGTGGTTCTGGATCAGCCCCTTCCCGCTCCCCTTCGAGTCGTTCAGCTCTGAACGAATCGTTCATCTGATCTGACTCACTCAGCATCAAGCGAGTCGAAACAACAGGACAGGACACCGACTCGTCTCGTAACTCTCGTTCTCTAACTGGGTTGAAAAAAGTAGTTTCTTTTGCCCCATCTGACAAAAAATAATAACCCTCTACATGTATTATGTGAGGTAGATTGAAAAATATAATTGGCTATTTATTAAGTTATTTGTTCAGCTGTGTTTCTCTCGTCGGACAACAGGAGTTCCGCCTCGAACATTATTGGCGTTACAATGATTGTCATCAATAAAAAATGAATGTGTGAAAAATATCAAAGTTGTTTGTATTTATTATTTATATAATATAATTGTTATGACCTTTTTTTTTTTTACCAGGAATGTAGGTTTTAACACGGAATACATTTATGTAACACCACATTTTTGGCGGAAAGTTTTAAATATTTTTATAGAAAATGGATAGTAGCCGCAGAAGAAGCGATATTTGGATGCACTTTGAAATAACAGGCCCATCACGAGCAAAATGTCAACTCTGCAAGGTTGTTTTATCATTTCAAGGAGGGACCACATCAAATATGAGACGGCATTTAGCCAGCATTGTTATTGTATTTCTTGTATTGTGACAGCCCCTCGCTTGGAATGTTGTTGCTGCTTTGTTCACAATTTTACTGTTGAATTTTTAAATTTAAAGAGTTTATATTTTGTCAAATTAGTTTACATATTTGTTATTGTTACCATTTATCAAATTTTAATAAATGTTTTGATTGTAAATTGCCATTTTAGCATTATTTTGTGTTCATGTATGTTTTTTTCTGAACAACTGAATCACTGAATCAAATGACTCAAAACACCCGATTCACTTTGGTGAGTGATTCACTTTAACTCGAGTCAGTAAAATGAATCGAACTTTACATCACTAATACGCACCTGACACAAAGTGCTCCGAGCATATTCTTGCGTGTTTTGAGGGAGTTTCTTGCCTGTTTATCTTCGCAAGCCATAACCTCCGTCGTTGTTCTGACAAAAGCTTAGTCTTCTCACATTCATGAAGTCTAATGATGGGTATACTGTAAAATCCAAGTTTAACGGAACCTCCGGCACGATTTGAACATCCATTGACCCAGCAGGAGATGACCATTTTCAACTTTATCACGACATTAACACGTTTCAGCTTCTTTTTCTATTGATTTGCCCACAGCATGCCAACACAAATGGCGCCGGGTCGGCAAATCCCCGTATGTAGTGACGTCATGTGGGAACTATGTATAGGGTAAGGGCCCAATCCCAATACCCACACTGGAACCCTACACACCTCTGCGAAGTGTGCATTTGTTCGAAGTGCACACCAGGGTTGGAGTACGCAGGTTACAAGTGTGCAAAAAAGGCAGAATTGGGACAGTGCACACTGAGTGCAGGTGACGTCATCGACTCGTCAAGAGATGGTCATTTTCAGACCTAAACTTTATAAACATTAAAGGTTATTTTGTCTGACCCTTTGGGAAACAAAATGAATTGCTTCACACACGTTAAAATACATGTATATTAGTTGTTTTTAATTAGAGATAGCTGTATAATTTTAAGTTAAATGTGGGTAACTAACTATCTGGTCAGTTTTTATACATTCTAAGATTATTTTACAAAGTGTAAAGTTTAAATTAAACACAATGTCCGTAAATCTTCATCAGACGTTTATGCTTCTTTCCAAGTAACATAGCAAAACTTATTTACACACATACAGCATATATATTTCAAAATTTATATTTAAATGTATTTTCTCGACGTTTTGGTGTGTACCGCAAAGAATTATGGGCAATATCCTTCGCCAGAGGGCGCATAGATGCAGGCTACGGCGAAGTGTGGATCAGGGGCGCAAAGGGGGCGGGGCCAAAGACCTCCCCGGAGAATTGGGACACCCTACGCACTCGCACCCTTTATCGGGAACGCGCAAATGAGGGGCGCGAGGGTGGAAGTGCGAGTATTGGGACGGGGCCATAGTGTGGACATTCGGAGACAGCCCCAGACACGCGTGTTTGGCGCAACGCATTATGGGAGATCATCCACTGCGCAGAACCGGGAGGACCAGACGATGCCCAAATACAGGCGAGTTTCCCATAGATCTTTGCGAGTTTCAGGCAACTTCCGCTAATCTTTCAGCCCCCATGCTGTCACAAAGCGCCACTGAGCACAACCATTCATTTGAATAGGGCGCCATCTTGGATCGCCGGGGCTTGATAGATGCAGGCTACGGCGAAGTGTGGATCAGGGGCGCAAAGGGGGCGGGGTCAAAGACCTCCCTGGAGAATTGGGACACCCTACGCACTCGCACCCTTTATCGGGAACGCGCAAATGAGGGGCGCGAGGGTGGAAGTGCGAGTATTGGGACGGGGCCGATATATGAAGAAAATGCGACTCTTCCGAGTATTTTTTAGCTTTTTTTGATATTTCATGACAATTTGAAGCTACTGTGGTGAACGTTCTAACTCATCATTCTAACAATATGCACACGGCAGAATTTTTCCACTATATGTTTTGGTAAGGGTTAGGGTACCGCGGCAAATGCTAACATGCTAATAAGTCTCCATTCCTCCGCTGTATGTCACTTACATTCTGTAACGTCTTTGTTTATGCTGCCTCTACCATCGACAATAAAACATGTCTTCTGTCTGAATTAAAGACACAATCCTAGACTGTCATTTTCTTCACTTTAGATTCTAATCCACTAGCTAGTGTTACAATCAAGCTTTTGCACTGCTAAACAAATGAAGGTTTGGAAAAACATGGATGCTGCAACTTTTCCGTTTGTCTGTGGGTTTAAGAACTCAGAGTTAAGGTCCTGAAGCACAAATCCTGCATCGTACAGAGCCGTGTAAGTAACGATTGGTGAATGAACTTATCATTCTCAACAAAACAATGCGTCTGTGCTGTGTTCTTTTCAGGTCAAACATTCACAGTGATTATCTAAAATGCCGACTCATACCTGACAATTAATCAAATAAAGATGGGGATGTAATAACTGTGCATTGTGACTGCACGGCTGGGTAAATAAATAATCCTTCGAGGTAAAAGCGTTTGCTAGTGAAATGTTAGCGAGCCACTTTTCCTGCGTCTTTTCGTAAAGTCCTTAGTGCGAGGCTCTTTATTAATCTCTTCACGAGGAATCCTAAAGCATCCATTAAAGGTTTTGCGACTTGATTGGTTAGAAAACTTAAAACAACACATGCAAAAGGCATATTCAGACACGCTTCTCTAGTGAACAACTAGCTCGGCTGACCACCACTTTGTGATACGCATACGTAATGAGACTACTGTAAATAATGTAAATATGTTTATTAATTACTGTTTTGTTTTCTGTACAACACTCCTCTTCCTTCTTATTCATTATTGTATTCTTATTTTGGGAATAAAACCTTATGCGCCATCATTTTATTTCATTCAGAACCCCGTCACATCAGCATTAAACTACATTATTAAAATATAGCAGAATATTTTTTTTGTTTATTTGACAGGGAAATCGTTCATTAAAAAAAAAAATCTGTAAATGCCCCAGAATTAGCCAATCAGCAGAACATTCCTTTGTGTGTCTGGGGTCTGTCATTTATCGCCGCCAGCAGCTGTTTCACTGTTGTTTTCTATGACATGTGTTTGACAGTAGAGGGCAGTACTAGCATGTTGCAGTCTTTGCAGTCCATAAATCTGTGCAGTTGCATTGCATGATGCATACTTAAGCACTATCTTACTATTATTCGTTTCATTGAATAGTTGTATGATTTAATTTAATTGCATTGTTGATGGGGAAACAGCGGACGTGACGTCAATTGCAAGCAAACAATTTAACAGTTCTTTCTTTCTGTTGCCTCGGTTACTACAACAGTAAACCACACAAAAATACGGCATTGTATCTATGAAAGTAAGCGAAGTAAAGACTGCGGACTGTCAGCTATCTCTGTGGCCACAGATGCTACGCAAGCTAATGCTAATGCTAGCGCATTTCTCACTTTCCTTATTAGGCATTTTCCTAAAAATTGACACCCGTTAGAGAAATGTTTTTTAGCAAAGTAGAGACTCCATAAGTTCCCCATTTGATATGAGCAGTTGCCACAACTGTACACACCACAGAAAAAGAGCATTTTAACTCGGAATCAGTGAATGTTTACATTGTTCTTAGTGGGAAAATGTACTTCCTGTCCCTCGGAGCACTTCTGTCACGTGCTAACCCAGCAATTTTATTTATTTTAAAAAAGGATAGCCCCTTGAGATGCAGCATCTCATTTGCGAGGGGTCCCACAGTACAATAGAGATAAGAGAATACAGTACAAAACAAGAAAAATACATATATAAAATACAAACAAAACACACGCAACATACACACACACACACACACATACACGTTTTTGTTACCTGGTGGGTCCCTTTGACAGGGCCGTTCAGAATGGGACCCATAGACATAATCTTTTTTTACCAAGACTTTAAGTAATACAAAACAGTCAATAGAAACCAAACAACTATTTTAAAGGAATTTTATTTTAGATTTTGTTTTCGAATTGCAGTGATTCTATTTTTGACATAGAATTTAATGCCACTCCATGTCCGATGTCTAAGGTCATCTGGTGAGGCATTAATGCAGGCCAGGCAGTGAGACTTCCCAGGGACCTTTCCAGTCTGTATGAAAGGTGTCATGGTCTTCTCCACAGCCTTCACCTCAGATGCAGACCATGGCTTTCTTACACGTTCTAGGGAGAGAAATAAAAATATATTAGCAATATACACTCCCAGGGTGAGGACCAAGCAGCCTGGCTGTAATCCCCCACCTGGTACACTTACCAGAAGGGGCACTGCCACTACCATGGGGTGCATCTGGATGAATGGTTGAAGGTTCTCCGCTTGAAGTTTCTTTTAGCCCGTCCGTTTGTGAGAGGATCTCTACTGCTCTCCCTGTCGCACAGAAAATAAAAAATACAAGTGGCCTTTAGGGAGGAAAAAAAATCATACATATTTTAATAATATCAAGAATTACCTTCAGGCTCAATTTGTATCTGGTCGAGGCTCTTTCCTTCGAATTCCGTCACTCTTCCCTGCTCCATGGCCATCAACACTTTGCTGATTTTGGCCAGCTCCAGTGTCCCCTCTGGTAGTCTGTAATATTGCCTGTGGATGCGAATGTCATGGCGAGGAAGTTGGCAAGTATGTCCATCTCATTCTCTTTCATATTGAGAACTGTAGACATAGTAGCTATGTGCTTTCTAAGTTTTGGTTGAGGATAGCATCTCTGGATGCACCGCACCACATTCTTTGGCTACCTGGCGTAGGGAGTCTGATCCCCTGATGTGGGTGTCTGCGCCCGGGCGGGAAAAGAAGTATGGGTTATGGTCAGAGATGGAACAGGCCCTTCTGTTCTCCACCAGCACCTCCATCGAAGCAATCATTTCAGGAGTCAAAAGAACCGGCACTTTCCGACTTCTTTTCCCTTTAATTTCAATGCGTTGAAAATGCTGACACAGCTTTTTCTCAAGTTGGGACAGTCCCAGAGCAATGTCAGAATGGATCCCAGTCTTACTTCTTAAGGTAAAGGCTGTCAGTGGCATCTTTGAAACCTCACCTTCCCTTCTTCGATTGAAAATGATGACCTCAACAAAGAGTCAAAACTGCCAGTTTAGACCAATGCTTAGACGTTGGCTCACTTATTAGGGTTTGCCACATATTCAGGTCGACATACTCAATATGTGCATGCATGGCTCTAACGTCCTCAGTCAGAGGGAGCAGGTCCGGAGTGTTCCACTTGGCTTGCCGGAGGGTCTGTAGGGCAGCAGAAGAAACACAGACGTCCCACCTCTTCTCAAAAAGCAGCCGGCTTCGTTGGAGGTTTTTAATAAATAGTTCATCAACACAATGCTCCATTTTTGAGTCACATTCAAGAATATCTGCTAGCTTTCTGAGGCTATGGCCGAGTTTGAGGGCCAAGGATGGAGTCTTGTATTGATTTGTTTCCTCATCATATCCAGCCACAGACCTGACTGCATCATTCACATGGTTAAAGTTGGAAGGAATAAAGAAATCCTTAATTGTTTTCAGTTTCCCTGCGGTTTTTGCTTCGTTAATTAACCTACCGACTTCTCTCATTTTCTGCCTAATGTAATCATGCTTAGTCTTATTCATGCCCGTGTTTTAAGTACAGGTGCTCTCCGAGTCTCAGAATCCCCTTTTCTGCTTTGACAACACCCGTGACCTCATCCTGATGCATTGCCGAAATTAAAGACCACAGCTTTTTGCTGATGCCCTCCGGTACAGGCTGGGCTAGGGAGCAGAGGGACTGGACCCTACTTCTACCTGGTTTAGCCTGGGCATCTTTCTGTGAAAGCCGGCACCTGGCCACATGCCTCCACAGCGACTTTCGCTTAAGCAATGCCCCACAGTCTATACAGTGCAAAAACTCACTGGATTTAACTGGGGAATTTGGCTGTTTAGCTGGGACTAAAGTTCCAATGCCGGCCTTTAAAACCTCAAAATTGTGCTCACGGTTTCCACTATTCCTGATCAAATCAAACTGAAGTTTACGTGCTTTAGATTTCACAGGTAGAGCCAATGCTCTGGCTACGTCACTTTCATTTCCATGTTTTCTAGTCAAATGACGGGACATTTTGTGGCAGGACATTGAACAGTTAGAGGCAGAAGTGTCTCTTGCTGTAAACTCGCCCCCCATTTTTCTTCTTTTGCAGCTGCATGATAACAATCTTATTTGCCTTTGGTTCGTCACTTTCCGAGTCTTGAAGAAAAGTGTTTTTGATTTTTCTTTTTCCATACTTTTTTACAGTTTCCTTCTTGACAGTTAAATCGTCAGAATCTGAGTCGACTTCATCAATTAGGGACTCTTGACTAAGCTGCACAAACAACAAATAATTTGTAATCATTCTATATAACATTTGAAGTCATGACTTGTAGTCAGCACTTACCAGTGGTTTGTAAGCGTGCGCTTCAGTGTGCTCCTCCATGATTTCTTGCAGCCTAATGAACCACACACTTGCACCTTTTTCTAGCCTGACACCTGATTTCCTCTGTTGTGCTGCTCCATGATTGGCTCCAGCCTGCTGGACTGAAATTGCCCCAGTGTGCCCCTCCTTGATATCCCGCAACCCACCACCAGGGTTCCGACACATAACACACTTTTTTCAGGAAAGTAAACCTCCAGGGGTCCTTTGCATAAGGACCCATATTTTAACAGAGACGCATTAGGACACGTTAGAAAAGCATTACCCATTGATTCGGATTAAGCTTGGACCAGTGGGGTCTGGTGTTGCTATAGGCTAGAACTCTAAACATTGTCATGAAATGTGTGGGAATTGTGAAATGTAATGGCTTCTATAGCTCTTGTGGATCTCCCATTCCTTGATATAAAAAATTGCTTGCCAATGTGGATCAGAAACTATCACGATTAATTATTTTGCCAACATTGTGCAGCCTGAGTGCAATAAATTGCTAGAGTGACCCCATGCATATTACCATTTAAATTATGATTAGTCTTGCGCTCTAAACTTACGTCATCTGCGTCGACTGTGCCTTCTTCTTTTTCTCTGGATTGTTTGGGGTTTTCAGTTGGTCCACTCTCCTCATTAACCTTTCTCCTCTCTTCAGGGCTGGAGGAGTGTAGCCCCAGGCCCTGCCAATCTGTGTCCCGTGCGGTCATCACATTCTCTCCACCGCTGACACAGTTATCGTGTTGTGATAGGAGAAATGGTACGTTTCCGTAGCGACGGTAGGAAAGATGTCTTGGGGAAAAACAGGCCGAGCTTCTTGAGGAGTCGTGGAGGGAGAGGCGACAGGAATGGTTCAGCTGAAGGAAAACGGTCCACTGGAGTGCCCACATTCCCGGTGGCTCAGTGCGGGCGGGTTCAGCTCCGACAGAGTCCTGAGGTCCCATCTCTGTGAAAAGCTCAGAAACGTGACGGGGACTGCTCCGATTTGGTCTTGTATGGCAAAAGTGCCTTCATCTGAAAATTAAAATAGACCCTTGAAGAATTTTCAATGTGGTTTTTTAACTACAAATGGCAAATAATAGTCTCTGATCTGACAATATTCTTAAGCAGTTACAAAATTATTTGATCTATATCAGACTAGTTTTACCTGAAATATTCATTTTTATAAAAGAAATTTTTCCACTTTAAGGTAACATTGAGATAGATTTTACTCCTATCTAGCATTGAGATTAATATGTTTCAGTACAGGGTACTGTGGAAGCATTTGATGACACAGCGAAGGAAAGAATCCTTTAGTTTGATAAATGAACGGAACTCTTTATTTGTCTTGGTCACTTGACACAGAAGCATGGAGGCGGAATGTAAACAAGGAACAGCATTCTGAGAGCCAACAGGCACGCCGCACAGAGGCATCTAATTAGTTTTACGTAATTACTAAAATTAGTGTGATCACATTGAGGGTATGTTGTGTCTTTTATCTAAAATTCATTCTGTAGGGGTTGTTCTTTTTTATCAAATGTGGTCCTCCATGAGGACTTCATTCTTGTGAGGGCACAGTGATATTAGTGAGCACCAGTGAAACGAAAACGCGATTCTAGCATCCTTTTTGTCCCTTATTCAACCAATGTTTTTCTAAAATGGCGCATTGAAATGGAGAGTCCTCAGCTCTCATGTACATTTAAAAGTCAAATTCTGAGGCTATTCAAAACCTCAGAATGTAATTTAATGTATTTTAAACTTTTGTGAAGACCTGTGAGAAGCGGCTCGTCACTCGCTGCTTTGACCATGTGAACGTAGCCAGTCGTTTGCTGCTTAGAAAGTTGTGTATTAATCCCGCAGACAGCAGAATGGGAAGATTAAAAAAAGCGTTCTCTGGCCAAAGGTGCCGGAGAGCTTTGCGGGTTTGGGCGCCGCTGTCTCAACTCTGATCCAGTAGAACGCAGAGCTGATTTGAAAAGTAACGCGGCTCGAAATGGTGTTATTTCAAAGAACGTGGACTATTTTAAACTACGCGGTTAACCGGTTTTCAACCGGTAATGAGTGCTCGTGGTCGGTCATGAAACATGCATAGTTTTTTAATCCCTAGTTACCTGATGGGTAGAGGCCCCTTGAGAAGAGAAAAAGAGTAATTACAGGTAGAGGCCCTTTTTTGAGTATTACCGGGGGTAGAGGACCCTTGAGAAGAGAAAAGAGTAAATTTCAGGGTAGAGGCCCGTTTTTTGAGTTATATTACAGGGGTAGAGGCCCCTTGCTAGCCAGAGAAAAGTGTTGGATCCTTAGTGAAAACATGGTGTAAAGGTAAAAGCAATAAAATGGGAAACGTGTTAAGGTGGCTTTTTGGTCACAAATGTTTTGTAATTAACCAATTCCAGGCTTGATAAATGATAAAAGTAAAGATAGCAAAAATATTCAGTGTCACACGGTTTAACATACATACAGAAAAAGGAGTTTTTGTTTTTTGGCGTGAACAGATTTTTATACTTATTACTTTTACTAAAACATACTGCACTTTTGTCCTTGGTAATAATTACTTTGTCCAAGAGAGCTCTGTGTTAGAAACATTCATATTTTTGTTATCTAAGACGCCTGTCGCGAATCACCTGTTATACTGTTATTTGATTGTTCCCATATCATGTTTTATGTGCTCCTCTTTGCTCTAGTGTCTTTATAAAATTGTAGTTATTCATATATCATTTCGTGGTGTGAGATTTCATAACACTTTTAAGCAACTTTTGTTAAAGTTAAACTCATCATTCTATCAATGTGCAGAAGCCTGTACTTTTCCACTACTTGTTTTGACTATTTCTGCTGGCACTGTGGCAGCTGCTGATTGGAGGTCTCTGTTTCTCCTGAGTATATTACCACTTGCTGTCTTTAACATTCTGTGTTCGTGTTGTTCGTGCTGTCTCTACCATTGACAATAAATCCCAGACCTTGCCATCTTCTTCAGGTGGTGGGAGGATGCGGGCCTCGTCTGTAACATCTACAGAACAATGTGTGTTTTTTTTAAGAGAAAACTGAAAAATCTAAAGAGAAACCATGCATCTGGATCAGCACATGGACAATCTGCACAGCCCCTGATTCCACTCAGGCCTGCTGAGACATGGACAATACCATCGTCCTCTTTTGCATGGACATGATTTGGAACAATTGAATTACACAATTTGGACATAATTTGGAACAATTGGATTTCTGAATCTGGACACTGAAGCTGAAACGTGTGATTGAAAGACACAACACAGAAGAATTTATGGCTTGACACAACAAATACAGCCTGAAGAAATCAACACGGAGAAGTGGGAGAGACTGTTTTCAAAGCAATATCTGGAACCACCATCGACTGATGAAGTTTGGTATTTTACTGAAGATTGTTGACAAGTTTTATGAAAGATCTGAACATGTTTTCTGAGTTTTTGAAGTATTCCGAGTTCTGAGTTTTTTGAAGTATTGAGTTATGATGTAATGTTGCTGTTTATCGATCCTGATGGTCACACGAGAATGTGTGACCAGAGGGGGGAATGTGAGATTTCATAATACTTTTAAGAAACTTTTGTTAAAGTTAAACTCATCATTCTACCAATGTGCAGAAGCCTGTACTTTTCCACTACTTGTTTCGACTATCTCTGCTGGCACCGTGGCAGCTGCTGATTGGAGGTCTCTGTTTCTCCTGAGTATATTACCACTTGCTGTCTTTAACATCCTTTGTTCGTGTGCTTTGTTCGTGCTGTCTCTACCATTGACAATAAAACATGTCTTCTGTCTGAATGAAAGACACAATTCCAGACTTTGTCATCTTCTTCAGTGGGACAGCACATGTCAATGAACATATTTGGTTGAACGTATTTGTCGACACATCAAATTTATATCTGTAGTACCAGGGTCACAGGAAAATACAGCAGTTTAAAACATCAACAAAAAGGAATTGCTACACACGGTCTGACACAGTAATATTTTGCACACAGACATCTATTGCCCACAGCCCTCTATTGCACATGGTAATCTATTGCACACAGCCCTCTATTGCACATGGTAATCTATTGCACATTGCATTCATTCTCTTGCACTCAGATGTCTCCCCCTTCCCTTGTGTGTCTGAGTCTCCTCCCCGTCTGTAGGTGGGACGGGGGAGCAGCTGGTGGCTGCTGCAAGGGGAGCCCACCTGTTTCAGGCTAATCTGCAAACCTATAATCAGCCACTGCCAGTTCGTCCATTGACTGTCGTAAAAGCTTTACCAGAGATTCTGAGTACACTTTTTTGAGATGTTTTAATGCTGTTTTTGTACTTTTTCAGGTGGAGGACCAGTTTCCTGGAGCTGTTCTGGACTTTGTTACTATCATTTCTGTTTCTCCAGTGTTTTTTGTTATTAAATGAACATGTGATTTTTGGATCTGCTTTTGGATTCATTTATTTAAAATCATAACACAATAATTCGCCAACACGTTTCTATGTGCTGTTTTCATCAGGGCTTTCATCACAAGCCCTGGTGAAAACAGCACTTTGAAACGCATTGGCGAGAATTCTCTGCATCCAAGTGCCTCTGTCTTATTCTCTAAGTTATCTTATTCTAATCATCAGGTATATTTATGGATTCGGACCAGATTTATGTGTGCATCACATACATCACAACTATTCACTAGCGCATACTGTACAATGCAACTTGCCCACAAAAGGGTGAAAATAAATATATTAAAATGTCGAGGATGCCAAGCCAGCACGTAAATCATAGAATCTGCACAAAAGACGATCTGTATTATGCAGACCTCCTTTATCTTAAAGCTTTTAATAATTCTAACACTGGGTGAAGATTCTCAATCGAGTGAAGAAGTTGTTTTAAAGAGGTGTAAAGGTGTGGGTTGCCACTTTCTGAATGTATTGGTGTTCACTAGTTAGACCTGATGACGACTTTTGAATCTTGCTTTTGAATAAACAGTAGAATCAAAAGAGTCTCAAGAGAGAGTGATATAAAACATACCAGTGACTTGTCTTGTTTCTGTTGGAGGTAAGATGCTCTGGAGATGTGTGATCTTCTTAATTTGCATCTGCATAAACATTTGTTTTGTGTAACTTCTTTCCTGGGGTAAAGTTTGAACTTTATCTAAAAACCCTGGTACTTCTTGCTGGTCTTTAACATTGAAGATGATATAACGTCCACCATAGCGTTGACACAGCTCCTTCAGGTCTTTGTTTGTACTGACAAACTCAGTAAAAGCTGAAGCTGAAGAATCTGACTCCACAGTGAACAGAATGATGGTGAAAGCATCTACACAGGAACCCAGAACATCCTGGAGGATCTTAAAATCAGCTTTGTCTTCATCTGTGAGAGAAGCTACAGGCAGAACCAGGACAAAGGCATGGACACCGTCAGGGTCACACAGACAGATGCTCTCCCAGAACTTCTCCATCATTGTTTGGTTCGGTTTACTGCAGAGAGACGGCATCTTCACGACGGACAGCAACTTCCCATTCAGCGCTCTCTGATGTTTGGTGCACTCAGACGATCTGCTCTCGAGAAATGTGCTCTCTCCGATCATGGCATCTGCAACAGAAGTCTTCCCTGCTCCTTCCCTCCCAAACAGAACTATATTTAGTTCAGTTTGAACTACCTTTAGTTCTGTTATAACTAACTTTTCTTCTGTTTGAACTAACTTTTCTTCTGTAGTATGTAGAGGTAGTTCTTGAGCTACAGTAACAAATGATTCATTGTTATGTTGGACCAGTGCCTCAATCTTTGTGATTAAATCAGTGTGGTTTTCTTTAGACATTTGATAGAATCTTCCTTCACAATCTTTAAGAAGTTTGTCGGTAGCAGCAGTCATCTGTTCATCACGTGTAAAGATAAGAATGGAATGTTTAAATGCTTTTGGACCAAACATTGTGAAGATGAACTCAAGTATTTCTCTTTCTTTGTCGCTAAACTCAGACGGCTTCACAAGCAGCAGGAGCACGTTTGGTCCTGGACGACACTCTGACACACACGTCTTCATCTCTTCTCTTACTTTTTCCACAGTCATTGTGAATAGGTCGGGGACTTTTCCTATTCTGAGCTTGTGTCCTCTCCATTCACCATCCTGTACTTTTTGGCTTCTGAATTGTGTCTTGGCTCCAGAGATAAATGAACTCAAAGTTTTCTTTTTGTTATCACTTTTTCCAAACAGAAGGATACGAAGTTCAGAACCTGTGGGAGACACATAAATGAATCAACTCGCTGTTAGCAGAACTAAAACATAAATAAAAAAATACTACAAAATGCAGTGAAAAAAGTAATTCACTACAAAATAGATATTTCTGTGTTTTTACTCTGCCACTTGTCGGTGTAAAGGAGCATTAGGCCATCATCTGTGAATATTTTTTGTAAAACAAGGGTAATTGTTTCTTACTAGTTTGAACACAACTTCCTTCTTGTTTTGTTGGATCCTGTGCAGTAAATCCTGCTGGAAAGCAAAAATGTTTATGCATGCACCCAAATGTACAATTACATTTTCTAACTCCAACACATACCATGTTCTAGAACATTTCTCATAATTACACCTGATTCTCCCTGTTCCCTGCTGCGAAGAGTACCAGAAGGAGATTCGAAAGCTTCATGGGTCAACTTCTCGCCTTGGTTTTCCTTGACCATCTGAACCAGTCGTGCAAACAGCTCTGACCATTTAAAGGTCATTAGTTCTTTTTCTTCTGGTGTAAAGTTCTTCAGCCACATGAACCGATATCTGCATTTTATGATCATCGTTACCAAAGGACTGTTTGTGGACATCAAATGTTGATTTTCTTCTCTGTCTGTAGATACTAGCACCATTGAATGAGCAAAAGAGTTTTCATTGAATTTATTTAGGACTTGCTCAAGTCTCTTTTGTTGTTGTGCTGTGAATTCTTCAGGTTGAAGGACCAGCAGGAGCACGTGGAGCCCGGGCTCTGAGGCTTCTGCAAACTCTTCTATCATTTCTGTCAGCTGCATGTTGCTTAAGTCAGGGTTTAGAAGGTCTGGTGTGTTGATAAAGGTTACTTTTTTATCCCCAAATGGAGCACTGACTTTTGTTGAGTTTTGTATCATTGTCCTGTTTACTGTTTCCGTTTCAACTAAGATGCTCTCTACGAAGCATCTCTGTCTCCAGTGGTTTCCCAGAAGAACAACTATCAGCTCAGACACTGAAATAAACACAAATATTATTATGATTAACTAACGCTAACCCTGTTTACAAATACAATGACCTGAACTAGTTTTGATACAACATGAACTTTTGAAAAATGCTTCTAGTGTGTGTGTGACAGAGAGTGTGAGCTCATTATATGAATGTATGTACAGAGAAATATTATAACTTGTTTGTTAAATTGTAATTTCTGCTGATAAATGTATTTTCATGTATCCATCTACTTTTATTTTACTGTTTTACAACATCCTGCTCAGGGACTGCAGGAGTAAATTAGCACTGCTGCTATAAACTGCTACAACACATCTCTCCTCTTGGCTAATGTTAATTGTACAATGTTCTTGTAGAAACAAAAATCATACCAATTGAATAAGAAACTTAATCTAACTCACTTTCAGGTGGTAAAAGCTCATAGCTCGACCTGAGGGTCAGGGGTGACACATCTGCAACTGCAAAAACAGTTATTTCTGTAACATACAGCGATAGATTGAGGTGAAGTCATGAACACTCACCTTGTGCTGCCATGGTGTCACAGCTGATATCTAACTGTTGGGAAAGAGAAATATATTAGTTTGTAGTTTTTACAGAAAAAAATAAAGTGAAATAAAAAAAAAAATAGTAAAATAAGATTTGTTGTTTTCAGAGTCTTTACATACGCCGCTGTGTTTTGGCTTTTAGACAAGGTTCCTTTCAGGCTCATACAATATTATTTATAGATTATATGTATTTTTAAATGTTCAGGTAGATGTTTTTTTTTTTTGTGGCCGTAAAAGTTTCCAAAGTGGAATATAGAGTCACGTTACTCAAAAAAACACAGATGATTAAAGATTCTTGTGTAGATCCCTCATGTCACGATACTGGATCCATCCATTCACACTAATTCTATTCTGTGGAAACTTAAACAATGAAATATTCAAGTTTATCTCATTAAATGGATATTTTAAAAGACTTGCTCTTTTCTCTCTTTAAATTTAATTTAGGGATACCATTAATAATGCAATGATTCAAAACATATCTCAATTATTCAAATCCTTAGATAATATTGTTAATTTCATATGAATTTTAATTTGATATTTTAATACTGGTTTATGTCTCTTACATTTCATTTGGTGACCTATAACAGTAAAAGAAATCCTAGTTTGTCTCACATTAAATTAATTGTTGTACACCCACAAACATTTTTCTTTAATCTAATCTTAAAATGACCAAAAACGATACATATTCTGTTTTAGTACAATTGAAGAGATAAAACATTCAGGATTCCATGTGTTGACCTTTCCACAGGTAATGCTAATGATTAACTTATACGATGTAACAGTCATTTTATGTTTCTGTATTTCTGTATCTTTAATGACCTTTATTTCCTTGAGAACAATCCTTTCATTTATCCACATATCCTCCAGACAAACACACTCTCACATATCAAGACATTTGATGAAGATTTTGTATTCATTCCTTTACTGTTTTACTCTTAGAACTTGATTGCACCTTGAGCCAAAGCAAATTACTTGTTTGTGACAACTACTTACAATGGAAATAAAAAAATAATTCTGATTCAGATTATAGGCATACACACACACTCAATACAGGTATACACACACACATGCACACTTGCTACAGGCATAAACATTCTAAAACTTATTACAGGCATACACATTCACACACGCACGCTCACACACACACACATGCACGCATACACAACCTCAATAACTGAAGAATCATGTACAAATGTGTTCTCATCCATAATAATCTTATGAACTGATGTTGAAGGGAGTTGGCCACAGAAGTATTTTAATGTTTCTTCCTTCTCCTTCTGAGTCCCATGTAGTATATGACACTCAAGTGCTCAATACTTAAAATTCAATTTTTTTCTAAAAGTACCTGGCCTTCCGTACTAACTGTTACCTGGTATTCAACTCAAACCTTGACATAGACAATGTGTAATAATGTAAATGTATATTGCTGATATTACCTTAGTTGGAGAGAGAGAGTATTCACCATCGACACGTCTCAAATGTTCGGTGTATCTCAAATGTTCAAGGATCAAGGTTCAACTTTAGTGCCTTTATATAAAAAGGGCTGAACTTTTTATGACTCTTACAGACCTGCCACACACACACACACGTTTTTGTTACCTGGTGGGTCCCTACGACAGGGCCGTTCCGAATGGGACCCATAGACATGATCTTTTTTACTGGGACTACTTTAAGTAATACAAAACAGTCAATAGAAAACAAACAACTCTTTTAAAGGTACACTGTGTAATTTCTAGTGCCTCTAGCGATGAGATCTTATATTGCAGTCTCATATGTTGAGATTTGAGCCTATACTGTTTGAGAGTGCTCCTCAACTCTCAGTCTTTCACCAGACTGCCAAGGAAAGAATACTTTAGTTTGATAAATGACCGGATCTCTCCAAATGTCTCGGGCACTTGACAGACGCGTGGAGCCAACATGTAAACAAGACCGCGTTCAGACAGCAGCACCCTACACAGAGGCTCTACTGAGTTTTACCATGGATCTATTATAATATTGTGGTGGTTTACATTAAAACGTGTACGTTTGTCACAGCTGTTTGACACTCCGACTCCGCTCCTTACGCACCACAATATATAGTTTTACAAACGTGGTGTGAAGAGAAGAGACACATGGAGAAATAAAGTCTGTGTGAGGTCTCCGTATAAATGCACCTGCTCTTTGATAGTTTCAGGGTTCTGTTTAAAGCGCAGAGAGAACCATGAAGACAAAGGTTCGGATACTGTCCGAGATACTGTTGTGGAGAAGTTTAAAGCCGGATTTGGATACAAAAAGATTTCCCAAGCTTCAAACATGTCAAGGGGCACTGTGCAAACAATTATATTGAAATGGAAGGAGTATCAGACCACTGCAAATCTACCAAGACCCGGCCATCCCTCCAAACTTTCATCTCAAACAAGGAGAAGACTGATCAGAGATGCAGCCAAGAGGCCCATGATCACTCTGGATGAACTGCAGATAACTACAGCTGAGGAGGGAGAGTCTGTCCATAGGACAACAATCAGTCGTGCACTGCACAAATCTGGCCTCTATGGAAGAGTGGCAAGAAGAAAGCCATTTCTCAAAGAAATCCATAAAAAGTCTCGTTTAAAGTTTGCCACAAGCCACCTGGGAGACACACCAAACATGTGGAAGAAGGTGCTCTGGTCAGATGAAACCAAAATCGAACTTTTTGGCCAAATTGCAAAACGATATGTTTGGCGTAAAAGCAACACAGCTCATCACCCTGAACACACCATCCCCACTGTCAAACATGGTGGTGGCAGCATCATGGTTTGGGCCTGCTTTTCTTCAGCAGGGACAGGGAAGATGGCTAAAATTGATGGGAAGATGGAAGGAGCCAAATACAGGACCATTCTGGAAGAAAACCTGTTGGAGTCTGCAAAAGACCTGAGACTGGGACGGAGATGTATCTTCCAACAGGACAATGATCCAAAACATAAAGCCAAATCTACAATGGAATGGTTCACAAATAGACGTATCCAGGTGTTAGAATGGCCAAGTCAAAGTCCAGACCTGAATCCAATCGAGAATCTGTGGAAAGAGCTGAAGACTGCTGTTCACAAACGCTCTCCATCCAACCTCACTGAGCTCGAGCTGTTTTGCAAGGAAGAATGGGCAAGAATTCCAGTCTCTCGATGTGCAAAACTGATAGAGACATACCCCAAGCAACTTGCAGCTGTAATTGCAGCAAAAGGTGGCGCTACAAAGTATTAGCGCAAGGGGGCCGAATAATATTGCACGCCCAACAGTTTTTATTTGTTAAAAAAGTTTAAATTATCCAATAAATTTTGTTCCACTTCACGATTGTGTCCCACTTGTTGTTGATTCTTGACAAAAATTTGAATTTTTATATCTTTATGTTTGAAGCCTGAAATGTTGAAAGGTTCCTTGCAAATACTTTCGCAAGGCACTGTATATATTTTTTACTTTACCATGCTGGCAAAGGGACTATTGTAATCAAAGTGCGCACAAAACAAACACAGATCCCCCCTCGTGCATGTTTCCTGGACATACACTGTACTGAATAAACGACTGCATCGACACATTGTTGATGTACAGAGACCATACAAGTCATATGTGCAAGTCAGAGACACTATATCAAACAGGACACAACATCATTTAAGGCTGCATTTGGTTCTGTGATTTTTTGTTGTTGTTGAATTGAACAAACATCAATCTTATCTAGGTGAAAGTTCACACCCTGGCAGAGAAATTTCACCTGCCATGCAAGAGGCCCTTGGCAAGTTCAGAAAGTATGAACAATGGTAAGATTATTTTAAATATTGATGGACATATTTCAATGTGCACTGCAACATCTAATCTGTGATTGCTCTTTTTGGACAGTGAATTTATAATTATTGAAGAAGCCCTGGTGAGACCCTTACCAGAGGAGGCAGCAGTGAAGCTCAAAGCCTATGAAGAGATCCTGGATGACCTCTGCTGTACCCTCTGAGGTTAGCCCAAGCCCCGGCGATCCAAGATGGCGCCCTATTCAAATGAATGGTTGTGCTCAGTGGCGCTTTGTGACGGCATGGGGGCTGAAAGATTTGCGGAAGTTGCCTGAAACTCGCAAAGATCTATGGGAAACTCGCCTGTATTTGGGCATCGTCTGGTCCTCCCGGTTCTGCGCAGTGGATGATCTCCCATAATGCGTTGCGCCAAACACGCGTGTGTGGGTCTCACACCGGGTCTCACGCACGTGCACAGAGGGGCTCGGCCGCTCTGACCAATCAGAGCAGTTCATCAGAGCGGGAGTTAGAGCGAGAGCCAGAGGAGCAGAGTTTGTGGCACTAAAGTGTGGATTTAAACAAAACCGAAGGATTTAAGAAGAAAAAAAGTTCAGGATGACAAGGGACACTAAAATCCCCACAAAATCCGATCTTTATTAAAGCTGTAGGTTCTCTGTCAGCTGAGGTTGAGCTGTTTTAATATGCATTGAGTTCTATGGGGAAGATTTCTGGGTAGCCCACATGAATTTAGTCTGGTTCAGTCTGCAGTACCGCGAGAATCCCCTGAGCACGTGAGTTATTCAGCTACAAGCTAGTAATACCCTATCCAGTTAATATAATACATCCATGGGTTAGCCCAGTAATTGAGCAGTAGTTGCTTCCTTCGTTGTTCCAATGGCATCTCTGCCATCTCAACCTGCAAGGCTGCCACTGGAGTCAACCTCATTGTACTACTACAAATCCTTAAGGTTTGGCTCTTAACAACATTTAACTTCTTAAGATTACTGAGAATTAAATACCACACATCCAAAATCAATCACTGATCTAATAAGCGCAATATAGACCTTCTTAAGGCAGGCCCGGCTTGCTCCCCAATCCCGAACTCTCAAACATCTCATTATATTTAACACTTTTTTACTTTTCTCTACAATCTTTTAAGTATGCCCCTTCCATGTCACTCTACTGTCAAACCATAATCCTAAATACTTGGCCTGGTGCGATGACACTCACGCTGTGACAGAGCTCTCGCGAGACAGTG